GGCCGAGATTGAGGGGACGGCCTAGGAGGGTGAGGTGGCAGGAGGACCGAGCAGGGCGTGTCCCGGGGACTGGAGACCGGGCTCTGCTCGTTCTTCCTGGGGAGCTGCTGCCCGAGTGCTGCCGGCGAGGGGGACCCCGGGTCCAGACCTGCCCGGTCCCGGGCGAGCCGATAGGTGCGGCCCTGGGCAAGTCACTTCAGCTTTCTCCAGCTCGGTTCCTCCGTCAGGATTTCAAAAGCAATAAAACCAGAAAACCCTCGGACTTCCTCATTTTCTGTAGCTGCCCTGGGACGTCATTGCACGGCAGGCGGGATAGCTCCCTCCGGCCCAGGCAGAGAGTCCTTGGGAGTCTTGAGGTTTTCGATTTTACTTTATGCTCTGGGAGCGACGTTGAGTTTTTAAGATAATTTTGCACATCCACCGTTAAATGGGAGGCATTGTGTCACGTGTGTGAAATTAAAGGTCAGAGCCGGCCCCTGCCTTCAGAGAAGGTTTTAATCAGAGAGACGGACAGGTGTACCTCCCCGCGATAATAAGGTGTCATAAAGATAAAAGATGCGTGGAAACACCAGGCATAAAGAGGAGCCTGGGTGGGGATCAGCCTGGGGAAGGGCGGGGGGCATAGGTAGTGACGTTTGAACAGAGCCTCGAAGTGTGCTGTCAAGTGTGATGGGGCAATAGACGTGGCTTGAAGAGGGAAGAGCATAAATTAAGAAAGGGAACAGCAGAAAGGCACTGGGGATTATGGCGTGGAGTGCATGGTGGCGGGAGGAAGGGCAGGGAGCGGGGAGGCGAGTTTCCCAAAGTAGTTGGAGCTGAATTGGGCAAGGCCTTGAATGCCACCCCCAGGAGTTAGGAATTTATTCCAGACCCTGGGCGCCCAAGCAAAAGGTGGATTGCTTCGAGGTTAAGCTCACACACGGGATTGTGAGATAGACCACCTAGGTTTGAAATCAGGCCCCCCCACATGTTATGCATGGGGCGGAGATCACCCTGCCTCAGTTTCCTCATCTGTAAAATGGGCGCGATCATCGCAGGATTGCTGTGGGGCTTCAGTGAGAGACTGCGTGTAAAAGGCTCAGCACCATGACTTCCACTTTGTTCTCAATGGCTGGACTGCTGGCTTTGGTCATTTTATTTTTATTTTTTAAAATAAATTTTATTGATTTTTTTACAGAGAGGAAGGGAGAGGGATAGAGAGTTAGAAACATCGATCAGCTGCCTCCTGCACATCCCAAACTGGGGATGTGCCCGCAACCAAGGTACATGCCCTTGACCGGAATCGAACCTGGGACCTTTCAGTCGGCAGGCTGACGCTCTATCCACTGAGCCAAACCGGTTAGGGCTGGCTTTGGTTATTAATACAAGAGGGGAACGACATTTTCAGCTCCATTTAGAAAAAGTCTGGCAGATGGACGAGGACAGATTTGGCCCCAAATGTCAACTTACTATTTTTCAAGTTATGCTAAACTATAGGGCATGTTTATATGATCATACCTTTTTTTTTCTTTTAAAGGGTAAGATAGGTATAGTCCTGTTTTAGGAAAGTCATTCTAGTATACCTGTCCGGCCCCATGTCCACAGATTACCCTGACTAAGTGACAATCAGGAATGAGATGATATGGCGTTCTCTTATCGCTCAGAAAGGTTACGGATTCTTTCATGTTTCAGCTGTCCTGGATAACGAGAGACTCACTGCGGAGGAGATGGATGAAAGGAGACGGCAGAATGTGGCCTATGAATACCTTTGTCACTTGGAAGAAGCCAAGAGGTAAAGATGGGCCGGCTGGAAAAGAGATTGGGAGGAGGGAGCCGATAGGAGGTGACCGCAGATAAAGGTCTCTTTCACTATGTTGTAGCTGTGTCTGCGGGAGGCCGGTGGTTTGAAGGAATAAGTATAGTTAGGGTGTTTATTCATGGGACCAAGTAACCTTGGTGGTAGTTTATTCATGAAACACTGATGGACATTAAAAAAAAAATTAAATCCTTTATTGTTTAAAGTATGACGTATGGTGGACATTTTTGTATACTGAAAAGTGTCCAAGTTTGTGTTGTTCTAATTTATGCCCATGGGGCCTGTGTGAGACACTCCCAGCTCGGAGGGGGGAAAGAGCATTGTTAGGATTAGAAGTCCTTGGGCGTTAATGTCTCACCAGTTCTTCGTTTTGCTTTATCTACGAGTTGGGTTCCTTCTCTCCTTGGCCGCGCTACGAGCATAGGCCCATCCATTGGGCAGTCCTCAGAGGCAGCTTACCAGAGGGCAGCGTCCTCTGCGTCCTTTGTGAAGCGAATGTACAGCTGCTCTTTTGCTTCATCAGATGTCCGAGGCCTTTTGTGGCCATCTTCTTCGAGTCTCGATTTGCTATCCGTTGTTCGTTCCTTTTGTCCCGGCGCCCTGTCCCTTTGAATGTCCCGGGGCAGATAGATGTAATTACAGATCAGGTATCCTATAAGTGAGCTTTGGCAGAAAAGACCAGCCAGGGATATAATGACAGGTATTCGTGATGCATAGGCTAATGAAAATCATGGATGTTTGAAATGTGACTAATAAACAAGATTTTTTGTTTATTTTTAATTCTGAAAATGTAAAAAACGCTACAAGGA